AACGGACTTTGTGAACGTGTTGGTAACACACTCATCGATCGAATAAGGATCAAAATGATCTCAAATAATTATCGATATGGATGGGTGAAGTATTTGCAACGTACTATCTTCGAGTACAATCATACTCCTCATGCTGTTACTCAGTTTACTCCATTTTATTTATTTAATGGAAGTAAGGAAGAGGCTTCAGCCAGAATTTCACGGAAATAATTCCAATCAGAAACTATCACCGAATATGAATTCCAATAAAACACTTCCTTGGAAATAATAGCCAATCGATACTGAAAAGGAATTAATTAATTAACTAAATTTAAACAACTAATTTAATCTTTATTAATTATAAATTATAAACAAATTAATTTAATCATCAACATCAACCATCACCATCATTAGCTAATGACCAACTCACTTGTTGTTGTTGTCGTTGTTGTTGTTGATTGTCAACAATTAAATCATCATCATCATCAACAATTAATGTTGATTAACAAAAATCAATTTTGTTAACCTGTTGTTGTTGTGGTTGATGAACAACAACAATAACAATAAATATTTGGTAACAATTAGTTAGTTAATTGTAGGTTGAAAGAGAGAGAAATTAAATCAAAAAGAAAGAAAAAAGAAAGAGGAAAAGAAAGAGAAAAGAAAACAAGAGAAAGAGGAGAGAAAGAGAATTTAAAATCCCTTTTGTTTTCTTTCTCTAAAACATCATTTACATTACATAGATAAAAATTTCCAAGCAACACATCGTCTCAAAAAAGGACGATGATATCGACTAATAACTCATTAACTTTCTCAAGGAGAAGGGTCTCGAAAGATATGGAAACGAAATCATTGATTCTAAATTAGAACTTCTAATATCAACTACTGCCCTCTACTGTCAATAATTCTCATCAAACTTTTAAAAGTAGGTTGCAAATTGTCTCCCTCATTTGGTGAATTTTGTTTGTAAAAGTTTTGCAGAATAAAATAAAATAAGTTTTTCGTAATGTTATTTATGTGATAATCAATTTATTCATAAGAATCAGTTTATAAACTTGACATCTCTTCAAATTACAATTACAATAGATAGTTTAATGATGCAATATAAATTAGGTATGAACAGAATAAATAAATCCGATTGAGTTAAAAGTTGTTAGTTTTTCCATCCGTTATTGTGACCATGACCATAACCATGACCGTTATCATGACCATGTGAATTCCATCCAGTGCTTTTGTCTCGGGAATCGTAAAGTTCTGTCCATCCCTTGTCGTGTTTTCCCCAACCACCATGATGAACCTTAAATGTTTAATATTTGAAATAAGCAATGAGAACGACTAATATGATTAGTTATTCCACAAAACTTACATCAACTTTGTATCCAACTTTTCCGTGTTGATGATGACCACCCCAGTGATTGTCCTTCTTCCATGGGTCAGCCATGGCGGCAGAAACAGCGAGGATAACGAAAAGAGCGACAATCTTACAGAATCACAAAGAGAGAGAGAAAAAAAAGTGACATTAGATCTTTTAAATATTAAAAATATCCAAAAGTGTTTGTTATCCGAATCCATTGATTGATTAAATGAACATGAATAAATTGATGATTAAATGAATTGATTCAACTCACAGCAAAAACTTTCATTTTGATTATTAGTTGTTTATTGTTTGTTGATTCACAAATAAAGAATTGATTGTTGTTTGTTGGTTGACTGTTAACACGAACTGATACTTTTAACCATCTAAACACTTCGATTATAAGCAAAAACGACACTTGAGGCGGAGGCCAAAATTTATTATTCATTCCTCCTTTTCACTTCCATCTATTATTAAGATAATCAATTGATAATTTGTTACAACCTCTTTAAGTAAATTTTCGAGTTCAAAACTCCTAGCATAGAAAAAGTTGCGCAGTTCTTATGCGAAAATTTGCATTATTAATTATTAATACTAAAGTTTATAACGACTGAAACAAAAGCTGCACTATCTTAAAATTGGTAACGACGCTTTCGTAATTAGGCCAATTATTAGATCAAACTGTTATACAGTATTATATTCAAATGAGTCTATGTTCGTTGTTTCCATCTAATGATTTTTGTGAATTTGAATTCATCGTTTCTGAAAATAACAACGGATCAAGAGATGAGTAACATGGAAATGGATAAAAGAAGCAATAAAAAATTTCTCTCCCCTGAGGACAAATACATAAAAATATGCGAATTTAAAACGATTGGTCAAGAGTCCTTTCGAAATAATCTCACGTCGGGTTATCTGAAATTCAAAGCGTAAAAACACTCAATTTTGACTCATTTTAGGTTAATTTTAAGACAAAACAGATAATCGATTCAACGAATTTATCAATTATGAATAGTTATTGAGACAGATCATATCTTATCGAGATGTTATTTTGGCTCGAGTCTATTTGCCATTTTGTTCATTTTTTCTTTTGAATTCTGCTTAACCTTTATTGCTCTTTAAAGACAAAAACGTTCTGAAGTTGGATGAAAAAGACTTGTTTATCGTCCATTATCTCGACCTCGAAGGAGAAATATTTCTTCATATTCTTTACGATAATTACAAGATATGGAAGTTTAATTCCTAGAGATAAACGAGGTGTCGATGGACAAGAGATCAAATTGCTCATCCTGATAATTTGTTTCATTCTTCTTAAAAGTCAAGAGCAGCATCTTAATCAGGTAATAATTAAGAAAATAAACGAAATAGTCTCGATAGCTAAGAATAATCAATTTTAAGAAATTGAACAATAAATGTTAAGAAAATCTTTCAAGTATTAAAGTAATATCTATTGACTTTTTAGCATTACTTTGCCGGTCTTTGGAAAACTTTGTTTGAGAGATTTGATTTAGTTGATGACAAATTTATTCACAAGAATCAGTTTAGAAACTTGAAATTTCTTTACAAGTTGACTTTATGATGGAGTATAAATTAAGTATAAATATATTAATAATAAGTTAATCCGATTGAGTTAAAAGTTGTTAGTTTTTCCATCCGTTATTGTGACCATGACCATATGAGTTCCATCCAGTGCTTTTGTCTCGAGAATCGTAAAGTTCAGTCCATCCCTTGTCGTGTTTTCCCCAACCACCATGGTGGACCTGAGATGTTTAATATTTCATACAGATAATTAGAATTGAACCACTGACATGATCTACAATAATAATATTCACAAGAACTTACATCAACTTTGTATCCAACTTTGCCGTGTTGATGATGACCACCCCAGTGATTGTCCTTCTTCCATGGGTCAGCCATGGCAGAGGAAACAGCAAGGATAGCGAAAAGAGCGACAATCTTAAAGAATCAAAGTGAAAGAAAAAACAATATTAAATCACAGAAATTATATAAATCTATCAACAACATATTCGTTTAGGTGATTCAACTCACAGCGAAAACTTTCATTTTGATTATTAGTTTTTTTATTGAGATTCACAAAAGAAGAATTGATTTGATTGTTGTTTGTTGGTTGACTGTTAACTCGAAATGATACTTTCAACCATCTAAACACTCCGATTATAAACAAAAAACGACACTTGAGGCGGAGGCCAAAATTTCAACGAATTCATAACTTTCTTAATTTATTGAACCTCCCACGAGTCTATCATAATATTTCACGCCTCTTGCTAGATCAGTCATATTTGTAAATATTATAATAATTAGAAGGATTTTAGTAATTAGCTTTGCAGTTAACAATATTTGTTGTCTAAAAGAAAATCTATTCACTAATTCATGAATGGCCTATGCTTAGAAATTAGGACATTTCTCAATCCAATTCTAGCCTCTAGTTAGCTGAGCACTTTCGATAATGAAAGAATTACTGAAAAAAGGTGCGCTTTTTGAATCATTGCGAATTTTTTTGCAATAAATAAAAAGGAAAAATTTCAATAATGCCTTATTAACTATTTTCGGCTTCGAGCTTTCAAATGATATAAGTAGTAAGAAACCATACGCTTCTGGACCGGAAGTGGGGGAGTTCTACTTCCGAATGAATGGAATCAAATCCGAAGAGGAAGAAGCTCTTTTCGATGTCTCCCAAACTAAATCATAATCACAATCAACTAATTAGTTAGAAAAATATTGTTAACTATAAACTCTCTCTCTCTCTCTCTTCTCTCATTTATCCATTTTTTATCATAATTCGTTATCATCCACTGCGGCTACAACTGCAACGTCACTTGCTGGACCCATGTCTTGGACTGTGATACTTTTTAATATAATTGGATCACGAATCGTAGCAAGTTTCGCATCCATTTGAAATTTGGGTAAGTCCGTGTGAGGTGTTGGTGAGGTGTATAAATTCTCAAGTATTTCAGTCTCAGTGTTTGGTGAATCAAAGCATCTTGGTACACCCGATACAAGACCTGGAGGTGATCCAAGCGTCGCTGATCTTTACAATAAACTAATCGGATCGATTTCATCACGGAATGATGAGTTACGTCGACGTCTACCCCGAGAGCCGTGCCTGGTTTTGAGACATAGGACTAGCTTCAAAAGCCGTTCGATTATGTAGAAACTGTGAATTTCGGCAAAGATAAGAAAAGTTTTCCAAAAATATTTACGATAACCGTCATCAGCTATTCTAAAAGCTTAAGGGAACAAATGAAGAACCGCTGATCCCGTTAATCCTCCGGCTGTTAAGCCTTCGCAAAGAGTCAGAATAGTACGTCGATGATCACGATGTAGAAATGATCAATTCTCCCATGGAAACAAAAATGGACAAAGTTATAAATAGAATCGCAAAAGCCCAAAATTTTTCCGAAGAAGGTTCAACTAGAATGGGCTTCTTTGAGGCCAACAATAATTCTTTAGCATGAGAATCTACAACTTTACAAAGAACTCGAGTTTGACGAAATAAGATAAATGGACAGAGACGAGAAGAGAGACAATTTTCTCGGGCATCATCGATATCATATCGGCAGCCGAAAGACACTCTTTCGTAACAGCAGAACCTAACCACGACCACCTAACTAACCAGCGAGGGTAAAGATTCGCAGCCCAAATCGCGCTATCTATGGACATAGTATTGACCACCACGACCACTACTTGTTGTTGGTGTTGGAGAAGTCTCTCTGGTTGACCGAGGACTTTTTGCTTGACCACCACGACCACTACTTGTTGATGGTGTTTGAGAAGTCGCTCTGGTTGACCGAGGACTTTTTGCTGCACCATCACCTGTTAGTATTGTTAGTACACGAGCACGAGTGGGCCGAGGGCTTTTCGCTTGGAGACCTTGATCACTTGTTGACGTTAGTGGAAGCGCTCCGGTTGATCGAGGGCTGTTCAATTGGAGGCTCTCACCACTTTTTGTTGGAGTCAGTGATCTAACTCTGGCTGATCGAGGATTTTTCGGACGTTCATCAGTTGTTAATGATCGTGTCCGTGATAATGAATCAGCGACAGGAATAGGGGAAGGAAGAACAGAACCTTCAGCGAAGCTAATAGCTGGAGTCGATGTTGTTGGCACATTCACTGATCTTGTGGGACTCGGAGTACCAACTCGTGCTCGTTTTTTCGGTTTGGTGTTTCGAGATTTGGTTCGTCTGACTGACGCGTTGATTGACGGACCAACTGTGTTCCTCACTTCTCGAGATAACGCCTCGTACTGTTTAGCAGTCGAACATTGCTCTCGAGTTCCGCTTCCCAGAAAGCGATAATGATGAACTTCACCTGCTATTTCACATGAAAGATCATCCAATAACTGGTATTCGTCCTGAGGATTAATTATTGTTCTTGAACTAATAACTTGTTTGTCATTTTGATCATCTAAAACGAGCAAGTAGCTTTGTAATTCACATCTTTCACCTTGTTTAAGAATTAACTTCATCTTGAACTGGTAACGATGAATGAAAAGACCAAAATGAACGCGATTAAAACAAACAATTTACTTATAAAAGGGATACTTGTCAAATGTAACAATGAACAATTGTTGAGAAACAGTTAAAACCAACAAAGTCAGGATACCAAAGAAATTAAGACAATTAAAATCACAATTAAACTAATTTAATAAAAAAATCAAACGTAGTAAAAAGAAAAGAACAAAATATGAAGAGAATCTTTGAGTTCAACAGATGTTCTTTTCGACTCTTTGATTTGTTATTGTTTTTTTGTTTCTCGCACGAGTAACACGATTTAGCGGAGCCATGATGATGACATAAATAATTAAAAAAAATGATTAAAAATAAATAATTAAAATTCACCTCAAAATAGAAAACGCTAATTGGCCTTAAGAATATCACCTGATAGTGAGAACCATCTATCGGAACAATTGAAAACATTGGAACTGAAAAGTATCGATATCCAGAAGTATCGAATATCGAGTATCTTAATTTATTCTTCCAAAAATTGTTGTTTACTTTTGTTAATTATTTTTCAATTACTGTTTTTTTTCATTATTAATCGTAATCAAATCAAAAATCGAAATTAAATAATTCAATTGTCCAAAATGTCGAAAAGGAAACGAAATTCTGATGTAAGTACTTTTGAATAAATATATTGCTAGTCACTGCTCAACTTTAGCTTTTTAACTCTTTTTGTCTCTTCTCGTTTCTTCAGGTTTATAATCATCTTTTGGTTCATGGCCAACTCCTTTTTCCCTGTGAGGTGATCGAAGAAGCGCTTGTTGATGAGGAACCACACTCTTTAATCAGGATCAAACCTCATTATGTTAAATCATCAAATATTCAAATCGTTGATGAAGCCGACGATGACAATATACCAATATTAAAAAAACCGAAGCCTGGGGTCCCATTCGAGGAGGAATTCATTCAATCTAAAGCGATCGAGTCCTTTGGCTGTGGATATTGTTCAAGACAATTTTCTACAATTTCAGATGTTATTCGACATATGAATGCTCGCAAATATACAAAAGGTATCAAGGAGCCTGCTTGTGTTAAAAGGAGGATAGAGGAACCTGCTGTTGATGGTGTTTGGCCTAAAGCAAAAAAGGTACCAATCAGGGTTATTAGAAAAGTTACTCAAGACTAATCTATTTACCATTTTTCAAAGGTTCATTGTTGCCAACACTGCAAAGATCATCCACTAAGAAAGGTGAGCTTTTTACTTCTAAAATATGCTTTTTCTTTCTTCTATCTCTAGTCATGATGATTCTACTCTTTTCAATATTTTAATCTTCTTTAGATGAGTCTCATCATTAAGAGGCTTTCGAAAAGGATAAGTGAAACCAACTTGCCCCCTGAAGTAAAATTTATGAAGACGAATAAATATTTGGACCATTTCAGAAAAGCGTTGCTGAAATATGAACTTCCGAAATGTAAACGCGTTTGAGTTCCCGCCTCCTCTCATTTCTTTATTCACTTTTTCGTTTCAACCTTATCACTTGTATATTCACCTTCTCACTTCTCACTTCCATATTCACCTTCTCACTTCCATATTCACCTTCTCACTTCCAAAGTACTGTTCAACTGTTACTGTCAATTACCTTTACATAAAAAAATAAACAATGAATAGTGAAGATGAAAATCTTAGAAAAAAACTTGATTCATTAGGATTTGTGTGCGGTCCGATCACTGACACCACAAGGTCAGTCCTTCAAAAAAAATGCCAATCGCTGGAAAAAGGTAAGTGAAAAGTGAGAAGTTAATTCAAACCTATTGATTGTTTTTTTAACTTCTTTATTTCTATACACAGAGAAGTTCAAACGTAAACCCGTACCTGGACCAGTACAAACAAGACCCAAGGTAATTCAAAGTCCAAGGGAAAGTCCGAAAAAAAATGTGGTTCATATAAAGTGTTTGACCGACAAGGAATTGAGGGATCAATTGAAAACTTTTAATTATAATTGTGGACCAATTATTTCATCCACTCGCCATTTGTATGAAAACAAATTACAAGAATTTCTGAAAATGAAATGAAAATCAAAAAAAAATGAAATTTAAATGAAATGAAAATAAAATAAATGAAAATTGAATTATGGCGACAAAAAGGCTCATTTTCTTTTCAAATGTTTAACAGCCAATTCTTTCCATGTTGCAGTGGTGATCATGGTTTCCATGAATATTTTTAAAGTATCAAAAGGATACACCGAGTTGACAGTCTTTTTCTCCTCTTCCTTCATCGTCCAAGTCCGATTAGCTCGTTTTATATATAAGGAACCGGAAGCTTGGTGGTCACTTTGGGTGTGCGGCCATTGAATCTGTTTCTCGAGCTGAATATTTGGAGTAGTGCAAACAAAGTCAATACACGCTGATTCTCGCGTTGGTTCGCTCGAATTAGGTTTGAGCTGGTAATGTAATAACAACGATAATAAAACTCCTTCCCATTTCTCTCTCCCTGTTTTTTACTTGGTTTCCCATCCCAAATGTTTCGCAGGTTGAAATCGCCGAGAAGGACAATGGCTTCAACTGGTTTATGTTGTTTTCGGTTGTTATCTTGACCTCCAGTTATAGCTCTTGAACAAATAGAGGATAAACACGCCAGAAATAGCTTCATATCCTCAGTGTCACCATCCGGACCTCGGTGTAAATTTATAACCGAAACTAATTGTTTCAGGTTGATTATATTTTGATCATATTGATGCTCACAATTAAAAGTCTAGAATATGATCAACCCGCAACTAATTGTTTCAAGGTGATTTTTTCTGTAAAAGAAAAGTAATGTTGAACCGATGTTCTTACTTTTTGAAAAGACAAAAAAATCGACTAAGATAATTGAAGTATCTTATAAAGACAATCAATTATCTTAGTCGATTTTTTCTTCTTTTAAAAAGGTAAGAACATCGGTTCAACATCATTTTTTTCGCAAAAGAAAAGTAATGTTGAACCGATGTTCTAGAATATGATCAACCCAAAGTTAATTGTTTCAGGTTGATCATATTTTGATCATATTAATAATCACAATTAAAAGTCCAAAATATGATCAACCCGAAGTTACTTGCTTACAGTTGATCATAGTGATAATCAAATTGATAATCACAATTAAATCTAGTGAACGATTCTAGCTGATTGTTTATGAACTAAATCAAATTGATTATAGTTGATCATATTTTGATGATATTGATTATCACAATTAAAAGTCCAAAATATGATCAACCCGAAACTAATTGTTTCAGGTTGATTATATTTTGATCATATTGATGCTCACAATTAAAAGTCTAGAATATGATCAACCCAAAGTTAATTGTTTCAGGTTAATCATAGTTTGATCATATTAATAATCACAATTAAAAGTCTAGAATATGATCAACCCAAAGTTAATTGTTTCAGGTTGATCATATTGATAATCACAATTAAAAGTCCAAAATATGATCAACCCGAAGTTACTTGCTTACAGTTGATCATAGTGATAATCAAATTGATAATCACAATTAAATCTAGTGAACGATTCTAGCTGATTGTTTATGAACTAAATCAAATTGATTATAGTTGATCATATTTTGATCATATTGATAATAACAATTAAAAGTCCAAAATATGATCAACCCGAAACTAATTGTTTCAGGTTGATTATATTTTGATCATATTGATGCTCACAATTAAAAGTCTAGAATATGATCAACCCGAAACTAATTGTTTCAGTTTGATCATATTTTGATCATAATTAAAAGTCCAAAATATGATCAACCCGAAGTTACTTGTTTCAAGTTGATCATATTGTTAATCAAATTGTCAATCACAATTAAAAGTCCAAAATATGATCAACCCGAAACTAATTGTTTCAGGTTGATCATATTTTGATCATATTGATGCTCACAATTAAAAGTCCAAAATATGATCAACCCGAAACTAATTGTTTCAGGTTGATCATATTTTGATCATATTGATAATCACAATTAAATCTAGTGAACGATTCTAGCTGATTGTTTATGAACTTAAATCAAATTGATTAAGGTTGATTATATTTTGATCATGTTGATGCTCACAATTAAAAGTCTAGAATATGATCAACCCGAAACTAATTGTTTCAGTTTGATCATATTGATAATCACAATTAAAGTCAAAATATGATCAACGGTTACTTGCTAAGTTGATCATAGTGATAATCAAATTGATAATCACAATTAAATCTAGTGAACGATTCTAGCTGATTGTTTATGAACTAAATCAAATTGATTATAGTTGATCATATTTTGATCATATTGATAATCACAATTAAAAGTCCAAAATATGATCAACCCGAAACTAATTGTTTCAGGTTGATTATATTTTGATCATATTGATGCTCACAATTAAAAGTCTAGAATATGATCAACCCAAAGTTAATTGTTTCAGGTTAATCATAGTTTGATCATATTAATAATCACAATTAAAAGTCTAGAATATGATCAACCCGAAGCTAATTGTTTCAGGTTGATCATATTTTGATCATATTGATGCTTACAATTAAAAGTCTAGAATATGATCAATCCAAAGTTAATTGTTTCAGTTTGATCATATTTTGATCATAATTAAAAGTCCAAAATATGATCAACCCGAAGTTACTTGCTTCAAGTTGATCATAGTGATAATCAAATTGATAATCACAATTAAATCTAGTGAACGATTCTAGCTGATTGTTTATGAACTAAATCATATTGATTATAGTTGATCATATTTTGATCATATTGATAATAACAATTAAAAGTCCAAAATATGATCAACCCGAAACTAATTGTTTCAGGTTGATTATATTTTGATCATATTGATGCTCACAATTAAAAGTCTAGAATATGATCAACTCAAAGTTAATTGTTTCAGGTTGATCATATTTTGATCATATTGATAATCACAATTAAATCTAGTGAACGATTCTAGCTGATTGTTTATGAACTTAAATCAAATTGATTATAGTTGATTATATTTTGATCATATTGATGCTCACAATTAAAAG